GTGAGATACATGGTTGAGAAATTATCATACCAAGTCTTGGAAACAATGTGACCAAGCATACCAATTTTTTGCATGAGAAATTCTATCCATTCAACCTCGACATAAAGCTATTGCCAAAGCATGATATTCATCTTTGGTTAAAGAGCGAGCAACGGTATATTTTTTTCTAAACTCGTTAAAAAATTAGATTCTTACCTAGATAGATTGGTCGAAGAGCGGGGAACATGTAAGATACTACGATTATTAAAGAGGGGAGGAATGTAACATCTAAAATTTTCTTTTTCATACTATGCATGTGTATGCTTTATGTATGTGTCAATTTCATTCTTGTTTTCTACATATGATTGATATTTTTAAAATTTTTTCTATTATTTAAGGTGTTTTAGATTAAATATGTTTAAACTTTAAGAAAAATAAGGTAATTAGAGTTAGTTAAGCTTGATTAATTTTATTAAGTGGGATATATCATAGTAACAAAAATTATAAATTTAGAAGAGAAGTACGTAAGTAAGTTTTAAAGTATTAAAAAAAATATGGCAACCACTATTTTCCCCTTCTCTTCTCCTTCCTCTCTCAAACCATAACCCTCCCACTTCATCTCTACCGTTTCTCACCTATTTTTAACGTATTCCACCACTAAAAAACATTAGATCATGTTAACTTTTGATGATATAAGTTGAAATTAAGTAAAGTTAGAGCTTGGAGAATTAGTGTTCTTGAGCTTCAAATTTATGCCATAAAAAATGTAAGATTTTTATTAGTTATGCTTAAAACTCGAGATATTTATATGTATTTATTGATAATTGTGGAACCAATTTAAAGTTGAGTTTGTTGTTTGATAAAAAAGCTGAGATAGGTTAGGGTTGGGATTTGATTTGAAATTGAAGCTTTGATGATTAAATACTTATTTATATTAATTGATGCTTGAAATGAGATAACGATGATGTAAAATTGTTTATTGGATGATGGGTTTGAAAAATTCCTAAGTTCGGTAAAGATGATGGATTGTAGAGACAACTTATATGAGGATTTAATTAAAATGAAATTTGAGTAAAGTATGATTTTAGTGATTTTAATTAGTTAGATTATGATTAATTGTCTTGAGTTAATGATTTATGAGGTTACTTTGAATTTTAATTGGTTAAATTCTATTATTTGATTTATTTTAGGATTTAATGGATTAAATTGAGATTTTGTATATGTAGGATGTTGGATGAATTATTTTTGGATTTTATGAAAGTGTTTTTTTAATGATAAAGTGTTTTGGAAAGGTTGAAGATGATGAATAGTAAAATACATATTTTGAAATTTGTTAATTAATTGTTGAGTAAATAGTTTAATTATGAGTTTATTGATCCGAGTAGAAAATTTATTATGAATTATTTTAATGATATGAATTAAATTATTTGAGGAAGATAGTTATTGAATTGCTAAGGAACCAAGGTAAGCATGATTCAACTCACCATAATAACTTTATGTGTTTGATCGTGTTAGTATATGTGAATATCATTATGTGATAAAATGTATATGTGATTGAATATACAATGTGAAGGTATGAGTTTATGATGCCTTTCTATGTATGTCTACATAATGAGCATCGATTTACATGTTTATACACGGAATGCATTAAAGTTATGTAATGCATCAAAGACACATGTTTTGGAAAACAGTTTTGATTTTAAAGCAAAATGTATAAAATACAAGGCATAGATAAGAAACCTATAATGACCATACTAATACCATATGGTTTTATAAAGGATGTTGGTAGAAGAATCGATAATGTTGCTACTAATATGGTTTTGATAGAAGATGTTGGTAGAAAATCGATAATGATCCTACTAATATCATATGGTTTTGTAAACGATGTTAATAAAGGAATCGGTAACTATCCCGCTAATAGCATATGATTTTGATAAAGGATTTTAGTAAGAAAATTGATAATAGCCCTACTAATACCATATGGTTTTATAAAGGATATTGGTATGATAATTGGTAATAACCCTAATAATATTATATGATTTTGATAAAAAGGTATTGATAAAGGAATCGGTAATAACCTTACAAGTACCATATGTTTCAATAAATAGTGTTGGTAGAATAATCGGTAATGGCCTTACTAACGCTACATGTTTTATGTTATAGTTTGATGAAAGCATTGTTTTACCCGGCATTGAGAAAAATGAATTTAAATGCACTATAAAAGTTTATGAAATGTCATGCATAATCATGTTTGTTGGCATTATTTCATGTTTATGTCTTGTGGTGTAGGTACTAATGTAAATATTGAGGATGTTGATACCACTTTCAGTGACCAATAACTCATGTGCCTACCTTGAGTGCGACTAAAGAAATGAAGAATGAATTATGTTTTAATGAATGGATATATGTTTATGTATGAAATCTTTCGTGAATATTAATTGTAAGAATATTAAGTTTCTAAATGTTTAGAATTGTTGATGGTAACTCAAGTATGGATGAAATTTTGGACATGTTTTTACTATTTTAATAAGATAATTATGTGATAATAATTATTGATGACAAGTTTTAGTTGATATGTTCAATGATAAATAAGATTATATTAGGAATAAGATTTAAGAATAATAAAAGGATATAGTTTTTAATAGCTACATATCCGGTCCTGTTAGGATTTTATATTTTTCATATCCATATAATTGAGTCCTTGGATTTTTGAGACAGTGTAAAAAGAAGTGCTTCAAATCATTTCTATTTAACTTGGACTTACTTTAAAAAAGTCGAGGCATTTCAAATTATTTGTTGACACGGATAAAGTCAAGAAAAACATTTGAAATTATTCCAATATTCAACCTTGGACATAGAATATACTCATCATGAACCACAGGATTTTCTAATTACGTCGTCATAAGATAAGTCGTTCTGCTGTCCTCAATCCACCGTGAATTATTTGGTGTGGAGGTTGAAAAAGTAAGATAGGAGGAGGGTTTAAAGTTGCAAGTGGTTGTTTGGGACCTTAGAGAGGGACATATATTAGCAAGATGTCCAGTGCCATTACAATTAAAACGAACAACAGCTCTAGAGTAAGACAATATATGATTGGTAAAAAAAGCCCCTTGGCGAGAACCAAAATGTGAAAAACGTCCACTGCGACGACCTCAACCATGACTAGGAAATTGTCAACTTGCATACATAGTGAATAGAGATTGGAATTTCAACATGTTGAAGGCCATCTTGAAGCTGAAATTCTTGACTAAGAGCGAGACCATATAGAGTTTCATAAGGAACAGGTTCATGCCTTGATTCTATCGAGCGTACGAAAGGCCTGTAAGAAGTACTAAAGCCACGTAATAAGGCTTGTATCAAGTCATCTTAAAGAACACATGAGCCAAGAGATTGACAATGTCATAAATGCTTATTCCACATTGGAAATATTGAGGAATGAATTCAGTTGGTTGTTGAACAAGTCAATAAAGAGTTCTTTTAAGGTGATTAATTAACTTGTTTCATTTGTGCCGAAACCATATGCAGCTATGAGTTTCAACCAAGCTACACGACCTATCGGAGCACCAATCACAAGAAGAAGGACTACTTCTGTCAAGGTGCCAACAATCCAAGCGAGGACCAATTGATCATGTTGGTCCTAGAGAACATAGACTAGATTGGGTTCATTATCACTGAGAGTAGGAGCAAGTGGAGGTTGGGAACCATCAATATGGTGTAGAAGACCATGAAATGCAAAAATGGATGAAATTCTGTTTGCTAGAGACTGAAATTAGTGGGAGTGAGTTTTAAATAAGGACTGACTGTTAAAATCGAAAAGAGATGGTGAAACTGTAGAAGAGGAAGTAGCCACAGTGACTAGAGTTCTATCTTGTGATGTAGCGGCCATGGTGGAGAGAAAAGAAACAATATATATATACGTAAGTTTTTTTTTTTCAAATACCATATAAAATCTATTAATTCTCACACTTTACAATATGTTTTACCGGTGATACATGTAAAAAAAAAGAAGCATGACGATACGCATAGGTTAGGTATAACATACTAACACTGTCTGGCTAAGGATACTAAGCTAAAATATAGGAGAAAGATAAGGATATAGAACAGATGAAGTCCTATCCTTATCAGCTTCTTGCCTTCTTTTCAATTTACGTGAATTGATCACCAAATCGCTTTACTTAAAATACTTCATCTTCTTGGTGAAAAACAAGTCCTATGGTAAGGTTCCTTTCCATTGTCTGCAAACATGGTACATGCATGTGATTTATTGCTGGCCTCCAAAAATATATGCATACATATACATGGACTCATGTCCTCCACACAGGGCAACCTTACCTTTGCTGGCTCTAAGCCCCTTGAAGCTAGCTAGGTGTATTATCACACTGATCACCCTTTGATTGCCGCTAAATTCTTACGGTAAACACAACCTTGAGTGGATTTCTTCAATGCCTTGAGGGAAAAAATCCAAAAAAAAAACTACTTTTGTATATAGTATTTTATGTTTTACGTTAGATCTCAAGTTATGCTTTACGTTAATTCGATCAAAAACTGCTAGAACTGGTTGTGTGTTTTTAATTAATAGAAGGATATAATTTTCCAAAATGGTGAATATTTATAGTTTTTCAAAACAATTCAATTGGATACCGAATAGACGATGGATTGAACAGTGAACGATCCGAATGTAGATCAAAACATCCGGTTTATGGAAACAAGGGGTGCCTTTACAGTTTTGCCAAGGCACCATGTAGAAGCTCCCACACACACAGATACATACATATATACATACATACATACATGTATATATATATATACACGTACGTGGAGTGTCACAGTAATATACTGAGTACTATACGGGGCTGATAATTGAGACAATGATGGGGCTCTGACCCTCTTTTCATATACTATTTGTACGAAGGTTGCAGAAACGGATTGACAGAGCTCCTCTCTCTTACTCTCTACCAGAACCAAAGAAAACCCTTGTCTTTCTCTCTCTCTCTCTCTCTCTTCTCTCTGTACTGCTGCAGCTGCTGCTGCTGATGCAAGCATTGGCTTGGCCCTTTATATATCTCTATCTCTCTATGCCGCCATAAGACAATGCAGAAAGGAAAAGTCCAAGTTGGGAAGAAGAGGTTAGCGCATTGAATTCGAAATCCACATCACACGCTTCCAAGCACGCTTTTTCACTTGGTAATGAGCATCTTGCGTCACTTCTTTAGCTTCCTCCTGACGACCACTGGTCATCCACCAAAAATCTTGGCAGAGAGGAAAGGACTGAATGAGAGAGAGAGAGAGAGAGAGAGAGAGAGGGAGGGAGATTGCATGGTTTTATGATACTGCAGCCTCACTCATCTCCTCTTTTTGTATATATTAATTTCATACCCCTTTTTCATGCACCTGATGTCACTCCTTAGCTACCCTATTAATTCTCTCTCTCTCTCCGCTCTTCCCTCTCCCATTCCAAATTTTGCTTGACTTGTCCAATAAGTATATCTTTACTCAGTATACAAAATTAGACACCAGAAAGGAAACACATAAATTTTATATATGATATGATACAGCAAGACAAGATTATTCTACAGTGAAGTTGAGAAATAATTTATTTTCAAATTCAAATAAATTATGTGGACTTGGTTTTTTTTTTTTTTTTTCCGTTGATGGTGCAAGGAGTTTAATTTACTCAATTTTCAAATCTCTATACTCCATCCATTATAAGATTTAAATTAACCTAATCCTTATAAAATGGGGAATACACGAGCTTGGTTTATTTATGGCTAAATTCAATCAAGGAAATATTTTCCAAAAATAAATTGGACTCTTCTTAAGTGAAGAATAATACGATGCATCAGTGCATCACTATGAAATGTCAAATGATTGATTTTGTAATAAAAGAAAAAATAAAAAAGGCGACTACCAATTTTTTTAGAAATTCCATCAACACATTGATTTGCATGGATGAACTATTAAAATTCAAACCAAGAACTTGGTTCATTTCATCGTGTATCGCTGATTTAAGTGTGCTCAGTTAACTGGGGAATACACGTTTCTTTAAAATAACTAGTTATAACGTTGGAATCCGTTGCAATGTCGATTCAAGGTTTCTGGTAGTATTAAAAAACATATCCATAAATAATTAATTATAAAGTTAAATTTCACCTATCATAAAACTTAAAATATTTATGTAAAATTCAATCTCAATTATTTTTTTCAGGTATTTTTATTTTATATTATTGGACATAAAATCAATGATGTTCACAGTAAAAACGACAAGATTTAATTTTTTCTAATTAGTGCAATTCTAAATTCAAATTCTATATATTAACAAAAACTTTACTTGAAAATTTGTTGGCTTACCGCTGACCAAACAATTTATTCATAAATCGATCTCAACTATTTTTTTTTATTATTCATCAAAGGCCAAATGAGTGTATTAAAATTCTAAATTCAAAATCTATACATTAACAAAAAATTTATTTGAAATTTTGTTTGCATACCACTAACCCAACAATTTGTTGATAAATTGATCTCAACTATTTTTTTTTATTCAGCGAAGGCTCAATAAACCTATTGAGTTACATAACAGGAGTAGCTTTTCGTATTATGTAATCATTAAAGAAATTAGAATTATCAAGATTCGAATCTTACTTTATTAAGAAAGTTAACTAGATACACAATCACTAAACTAAATCTATTTAATTCAATCTCAACTATTTAACTTTACGTATATCACAATAATTTCCAAGATAAACAGTAGGCAAAATGACATTAAAAGAGATGCAATGAAGCTTTGGCTACTGGTGATTAGGAACTAAGTGGGAGCGTGGGTGGAACGTGGGATGGATGGAAGGTGCATGGATTGTTGGGATTAACTTGTGGATGGCAGGAGGAGGCAAGGGGGGTATCTATGCAAGTATAGGTTGGCATGACATGGCATGCAATTGTTCTAATCAAAGATCTGATTGTTGTGCATGCATGCCATATTGCTCCATGCAATATTACTGGTGAAAATTTTATTAACACTACTATACCATTTGACAGAGGACAAAACAAAACAAAATCCTTAGTTTCTGTCATTTACTGTTGTTTTTTTTGTTTTTACATTTAGGATCTTCGGTACTGATGAGACGATGATACGGTGATGACATCAGAGGAAAAGGTCCCCAAAGAATTCATTCCCTTCATTTTTCTCGATTCAATTGGGCCCACTTGATCTCAGTGGTATGTTGCTTTACTGTCAGCCCTTCTCAAGCTGACAAGCTAGCTAGCTACCTACCTACCTAAGTTTGTAGAAACGTAAACAGATACTAGCAAGAGAGAGACCTCTCAATGCCCACCTTCTTGACCGTCCATGCATGCTTCAATAATCGATATTGCTGATAACTTAATTAAATGATATTAGTATCATTAATATTTTTTCTTCCTGGTCATCTAATAGCCGTCCAATTCAAGATAGAAAAATGGTTTTTTTTTTTTTCCCTTCTGAAGATGTACTGACATTTTTGCACATTGTAAATTTTGCCAAAACTGATCCTGTGGGTGTAGCTTGAAGGACGAAGACCTTACAATGGCCATCTTATTCTCCATCTTCAACGACTTGGAATCAGGTGGAGTAGAGGTTAATTAGGTCTATTTTTTGTGTTATATAGGCAGAGCCACAGCTAGCTAGTCTAAGCCATGAAACAACAAATATAGGAGAACCTCTTTCCCATGCAAATTGTCACCTTCTTCTGATAACGATGAATTGCATGTTCTCAGTTGAGAGTACTGGACTGGTTACAGATCGAATGGGATAAAAAATAACAAAATAATTATGTTATTAAAGGAACATAATATTCTTGGAGCATCTGAATTTAATGAGGGATATAGAGGATGGACCATCCTGTTAAATTGTTTAGGTCTGTTGATTATTGACCAGCGAAATTTGATTCTATTTGTTGGCTTTTCTTGGTAATTGCACCGTGGGAACAGTACTAGTACCCGGTTCAATAGAGATCTCTCAAATCAAACTATGGTTAACCGATAAAATTTGCTTTTCATTCTTGTCTTTCCTAGATGGTAAACAGCTTGTGAATTCCTAGAGTTGGGTTAGGTCCATTGGGCCAAATTCCATTTAATCAGATTGCATCCTTGTAATAGGCTTAAAATCATTGTGTGTTCTTGGATGCTGGGTGACTTTATTCATGGCTGGGCCGACTCAGAGGAGCTACTGAGAGTTATATTTCAAATCATATCCAAGCTTGCAGTTGAAATTTACTACTTTCCAAACTAAATAGCACTTGAAGGCCCAACTAAGGCAAGATTGGGTTCGTTAATGGACAATGCCCTAAAGGGCAAGAGCAAATTCCGTTCTCCAATACCAAAATTAAGGCAATTTCATCCGGTAAGAATTATCTTATTTATTCTTTTTTCAAAGTGAAAAAAGAATAAAATAAAATTCACCAACTCCAAAATTTTAGTGCTATGGAGTATAGTTTTCTTTCGTCTGGCAGAGGAAAGAATGGGGAAGCCTCGAGTGGTGACTCAAGGGCCAGGGCCACCTTGCTTTGTTTTGGTCAAAACTCAAAAGATAAAAAACACATCTAGCAATAAAGTAAAGAATGAGTGAAATGAAATTGATGACTTGACTTGTCTGGTCATTTCCTTCGTTCATTTTCGTTTCTTTGCAAGTTCATCATATACTCAGTTTTATCAAATTATTTAATCATTATATCCTAATTAAGTGTCGAGATTTTGATAATAAAATTTCTTAATAGCCTCCTGACAAGTTAATGGCAGAAGTTGGCTCCTCAGCAAAAATTCCATCCAATGACTGCTCTTTTTGGTAATTATTTTAGCCAAATATCCCATTATGATTTTGATATTGTGGTGCATGGGCCTCGGGCAATAAATTGAAATATTTTAAAAAAATAATGATTTAATCTATTTTTATATAATAATATAATTCTTTAATATATTCTTATATGAACCAATTTTATTCTTAACTCGTATTTTAAGTTTTTAATTTATTATTCGGTAAGATTTTAAGGTAAATCACCTAATGACATTTTGAGAATAAAACAGCTTATGTGTAAATCATATTACTAATTTCGATGGTCCGACCTTAGAATCTTACTATATTAAAAACCCTACATGTATTCAAATATAAAATTGATTCACTTATATACATGACATATTAGTAAATTACTTTATTATATAAGAAAAAGTAAATTATTTTATTATATAATTACAGATTGAGTCATTGATTTTATTTCAAATTAAACAAAGTATGCAAAAGGGTTTGTTTGGTGTGATAGATTTCAACTCCCACAATGGTCAAAGGTGCTTAAGATAATCCTTTCAATAAATAAATTAAAAAAAAAAGTCTAAGAATTATGTGAAACCAATGATTCGTATATGATAAAGAGCAAAATTATAAGAATTAAATTTTTGTTAATACAAAAATCTAGATGTAAATGATTTATCTAAAACTTGAATAAGGATAATGTCAATTTAACATTGTTACAACAAACTTATAGTTTAAGTAGTACAATATATCTCATCCTTCAAGATATATCATATTCGAATCTCGTTTTTATTAGGGAAAAAAATTCTTAATGTTGACTAACAATTATGCATGCATCAATGAGATGGCATTAAACCCTAGAATACAATTATCTTATATCACTCGAATGTATATTGTATGTGTCTCTTTCGATCAATAATTATTTATAAATTAATATATAGATAGTAATTTGCTCGAGATCCATATATATTTACAAATGTGTGTGTTTGTAAAAAAACAAATGTATACAAAATAGGCACTCATTTTTTAACTTTGTAGGATATCAAACAAAGTAGAAAAAAGGTGAGAAACAAAACTTTCTCTTTTTACTCTTTTAATGATGAATTTATTTGACAAATTGTTATGAACATTGCAATAATTTGATTCCATGAATCCATCAAAATACAAAATGGACAAACAAGTAGGAGGCTATTATGTCTTTACATGGAGGACTATATATATCATCTCCATTACCTTCTCTCTTTTACCTTCTCCTTCTTATGTTAACATAAAAAGTTGAAACTAGTAACATGTGTTATGTGTTTATGCAATGCTCTTTAATCCTTTATATTCGACATCGTTACCTTTTAATATGATGACATTTAGAATAGAAAGAGCAACGAAAATTTATCTCAATTGTAGTTCGATTTAATTATTGTTCATATTTAAGTCAAGTCGGTGAGGAAATATTGTGATGTCGATAAAACTCATGGGTATTAATAAATTATGTTTTGTATTGTTAAGTTGTTGAGAGTGATGTGGATGAAGGCTCGCAATATAAGGCGCTATACATATCTAGTACAACGAGTCTCGTTAGTTAGTTAGCGAGCGAAGGTCAAGGGTAGCGCACCTTATTCTCGAAAGGTCTACGGAATATTGGCCGAGTGTATGGGTCCATTAGGCTTTTTTTTCTTTCTTATAACCCGATTGTTCACACTATAAATAGAGGTAATATCTCTTATATTTGTAGCCGCCACTTGACAAAACCTAATAAGAAATTTTAGGGCGGCTTGAAGTAGGCATTGTTGCCGAACTATATAAAATTTTTGTGTTGTGTAATTATTTTTATTTTCACTACTCTATTCTTTTGCTTGATTTGTTTCCTAACATGTACTTACAAGTCAAAAACAACTTTATTTTTCTTTTTTCTTTTTTTCCAAAAGCTCATCCCATAAAATTGTTTACAAGATGATCTTGTTTCTCCTTCCATACATTCCGTCCAAGCCACATATCCTCCTAACCTTCTTTTGGAAATTGTAATTATTGAAATCCAAAATGCACCAACCTAGATAAAAAGTGATTTTGTTATTCCTATGTAGTAGTAGTGATGATTTTATTATTTATGGGTTTGGCTTTCTTTTCCCTTCAAAGGAAAAGACACTTATAACTTGTACTATTTTATTCTCAATCTTCATACTCTAATCTTTATGTGCTACAATTTGTAACCACATATCCTATTAAAAACCCACATATTCTTCTAACTCCAAAATTATAAAACTATAACTTGAGAAAAATTATTCACAAAATTTGATTTGAATTTGTTACTTTAAAATAATTCATATGTCTTCTTTTTCTTTTATTATTATTCTTTTTTACAGCAAAGTTAAGAGAAAAGTGCAATTTCAATGCCTAATTTCTTATTTTTATTCTGTTTGAGAGCTTAACATTTTATTTAACATATTTTAGCGACCAATTTTTTTATTATTTTTTTCTATTTGAGTATATTTCATCATCTAAGATTGTTAAATGCCGACATAATCAATATCAACTTATATGTGGCCATTTTATGCAAACTTGTTGTCTCTACTCGACGTCGGACGGAACTCCTCGAAAATATCTAAAATTAGATTGAATATTTACAAGTTTATTTACAAAGTTTGGAGTCACCACCTAGTATTAAAGGAACTAGGAACCTAAAATGGACAACTGGTTCGGAGATTCTATGGTAAGGACTTGGTTACGCTTTTAGAAAGATATCGATCACTTAAAAGCGCCCTTTTTGAAAAAAGGTACCACGTCCGGTTTAGCTTTAAATTTATCGCCTAAAATATTTTATTTACGTCAAATTATTTTCTGATTTTTTAAACTCCCATTTTTTAAACAAATTGAATTTTTTAGTTTTGGGCGTGGCATCATATTGAAACGATCATCGGTCCCCTTCGTTGGGTGACACGTCGATTCAAACATCGGATCCACTAAAAGCCTTGACACAACCGGCGTGTCGAAGGACATCTTAAAAGGTGATTTTTGGTGATGTCGGCCCTATCAAATAGGAGGCTTCGTCGAAAATTTTGAATTTTTTTTTGTGACGTCGATCCCTTTTAGATAGGAGATTTCATCAATGTTATTTATTTATGATTTTTTTTTGTGGCGTCGGTCTCTACCAAGTAGGAGGCTTCGCCAAAATTTTTAAGCATTTTTTTTATGACGTCGGTCCCTATCGGATAGGAGACTTCGTTAAGATTTTATTTTTATTTTTTTCAAGCAATACATATTAAAGAAAATAAAATAAAAAAAATTGAAATAAAAATTCTAAATTAATATGAAAAAAATGACAATGAATAAAAATAAACAACTAAAAAAAATAAATGAATAATAAAAGAAAAGGAAAGCAAAAAAAAAAAAATCATCATATACCTAAACCATTAACCCACCACTTTTACTCCTTTTTTTTTTTATGGTAGATGACATGAAATTCGCTTATTCAATTGAACTAAAGCCTAAGATCTAAACTAGCATACAAATTAACAACAATTCAAGTGACTAATTAAAGGGTTGGCGAAGTAAAAATACAAAAAATAGAGACCGACAAAATTTAAATCAAACTTGGGCAAACTTGTGGCTTGGGTGAAGATGTTGAAATTTCTTAATGACTTTGATGAATGTGGATGTTTGGGTAGTACTCAAGATTCGGGAATTAAGCCTTGTAGAAGTTAGGGATAACGGGAAACAATCTTAGCCGATGAACACACCAAGACAACGAAAGAACATAAACCAAAAAAAAAAAAAATACAATGACTAAAAAATAAAAAAAATTAAGCCTTTTACTTTTGATTTTCAATCCCTCTCAACCCCGAATCCTTCCTCCCTCCTCTCTTATTTTTTTCTTCTCCTCGCCAATTGGAAATCGAAAGCTTTTTATAAGCCGAAACCTCCTACAATTTCTCATAAAATCAATTCAAATTTTAATTATCAAATCTTAATTTTGAGATTTGATTCCTAAAAATAAGGAACTTCCAATTTAAAAAGATTTGTGAAAGATTTTGAATGATTTTAGGGAGGTTTAATATTTTTTCCTTTTTTTTCCTTTTTTGTTTTATTATTTTATTAATTTTTTTTTCCTTTATAGGAACCCAAAATTGGGTTATGACACTTGTGACAAAAAATGGATCTCTTTCGAAATTAGAGAAAACTATAACTTTAGTGCTTAACCTTTGGTTTTAGTTCTATTTGAGTCTCCAACTTTTTATTTTATCTATTTGAGTTATTAACACCAATGTTTTTTTTCTTTCCTTCTATTTGAGTGCATTTCGTCGGTTGAAACTATTACATGCTAATGTGATTGATGTCGCTACCCAACATCGGACAAGACTCTTAAAAAAAATTTAAGATTTTAGAGATTTGCATCGCATTTATTAGTTATTCCGAGGATGTGAGTTATCATTGAGTTTGGAGTCCCCACCTACTATTAAAGGAATTAGGAACCTAAAAATAGTACTCGTTGTAGGGATTCTCGGGTAAGGAGTTGATTATGCTTTAGAAAGATATCGATAACCTAAAAATGCCTTTTCTAAGAAAAGTATTATGTCTAGTTTAATGCTAAATTCATCTCCTAAAATATTTTATTTGTGCCAAGCTATTTTTTATTTAAATTCTAATTTCTAAGTTAAATTTTTTTTTTTTTGACGTAGAATCTTATTGAAATGATCATCGGTCCCCTTCTTCGGGCGACACATCATTTCATACATCAAATCTACTTTAAGCTTGACATAACCGATTCGTCAAAAAACATCCTAATTATCCCGATTATTAAATATTGATGATATATTTTTAAAATACTAACAACGAGTCCCTATCAAGCAAAAAAAATTATTAAAAAATTTATTATTATATATATTTTTTTGTTAATGACAGTCTTTATCATATAGGAGACTTTATTAGAAATTAATAATAATTTTTTTATCGATGAGGAACCATCATCGGTACCTAAGAATTATGAGACTTAATGCTCTCCAAAAAAAAAAGATGACAAAAACTATGAAAATTATGGAATAAACCAACCATTACAATCCGCTTTATTGAGAGAACAAGATGAATGATTTATCTACTAGTAGGCTCCTAATTGATAATGGTTCATCCATGAATTTCATGCCGCTTACCACCTTGAAAGGATTGGATATGGATAAGAAATTATAATTTATACATTTATCATTACCAAAGCCTTTAACAATGCTTCTTTCGGAATTCAAATACGTGTTGTAGTTAATTTTTAAATATGACATATATAACAACTAATATGTTTTCATATCATTGATGCAGCTATGCTCCATCACTTGTTAATTGTAAGGCATTTCTTCTAAAATATTATTCAATTTTCTTCTCCAAACATCAACGTGGAAAAGGGCATTATAGATGGATAAATATCTCCATTCTTTATGTTAAGATGCCTTTTTAGTGTGATGAATCTCATTTTATAGAAATATCGTTCTATAATGCGTTTATAGTCGATGGTGAGCTTAAGATTGGCAAGATAAGTCACAAGAAGGATGCCCATAAA